GTGGCTACCAAAATACAAAGGTTAAATGGAAGAAGAATAAAATCGAGCACTGCGGAGGAAGTTGTAATAAGACTAAAGCAGGGTTGTGCAATTTTTTTGGCCTGATGGCCATAGTGGGTATGGAAATTTGTATGGAGGGCCAGATAAGAAGGCACTAGAGGAGGCTATGCCTCCCAAAACAGCTTGGCATGTGCCCCTCCCTCACTCGTCCTCTGCCTCTGAGCCAACATTCCTTGCCCCTCATCTCTGACCTTCCTGCCCTGGGACCCCTGGGATCGCCTGCCTCCTGGACCCATGCCCCTATCCAATGTTCCATCTAATTTTTTTCCATCCATGTGCAGAATAAATGTCATGTGCACAACCTGGTTTTAAGCTATTTAGGATACCTTAAATGCCACCCTAAGGCTTATTGGAATCCAGGGTACATCACAAAGCACTGGTCCGAAATATCCAAGATTAATACCAATTAAGAGTACTGCAATATTGTGTAATGGCCTCAGCCTCCAAGGTGTTGCCCTGGGGAGAGCACATTTCTGTAAAATCATCTCAAGGTAACACAGGCATTTTTATATACAAAGTTTTTTTGGATTAAGTAGTTTTTTAATTTAATAGAGTGATAATAGTTATATAAATTCTGTGCCTGGAAATACGGATGTTACTATTAGATTAATCAAATAGTTGATGAATATTCCATCGACAAATCAATTAGTTGATAAGGGCGCTTCCACTTTGAAATGTAGCAAGAGCCCGTCTTGGCTCTTGTGTATTTCAAAGATTGAAAGGAGCATGGGGCCAGTGGGAGACTCTGAGTTGACTAATCACTAGTCAACTAGTGTGTTGATTATCCGATAAGCAAAAGCAGAAGTCGATTAGTCGCTTACATCTCTACCTGGAAAGAGATGTATATTGGCTGTCTATTTTTAAGAATAATATTTGGCCACTAGAGGGCAAGCATGTTGTTTCATTACTGTAAAAAAGTAAATAAAGTGTATGAGTTTTTCATCTTTTTGTTTTTGCAAACAGTGTTATGAATATAACAATAAAATATTAAAAAGGGATAGTTAAGGAAAATCTTAGAGCCGTGGTGTCCAGCCAGTTCTGAAGTAGTAGTCTCTATAGTGGCTACTGCTACAGAGAACTAGCCAAACTAAACCAGCCTAACAGCCAATGGCTAGCGTGTTGGACACCATGGTCTTAGAATTCTTGTATTTCCTCTTAACAAGAAATAACTTTGTCTTATACAATACATAGGGATTAGAAACAGACACTACGTAAATGGATTAATCTGTATCACTCACTAATTGAAAGAAATTGCATCTTTCAAAGATCCTGACCATAATACTCCAGTAGTGCAACTAATAAAAATAATGAAAAGAGCATGGTTAGTGAAACTAAGTTGCTAGAGTGCATGTGTGGGTTTGTAAGATACCTTATTTACGAGGCAGGTGTGCTTATCTTTTGCTGACAGTTCTGGCCTGTGGTCCTTGAATGGGTGCTAGCTGAACCTCAAACAGAGAAGAATAAGTTACGGTATTATTCTCTGTAGGATGGGTTTGGAAGATTGTGTGTGTTATCTAAGCAAAGAGGAATGACTGCATATGGGTAAGAGAACAGAATATGATTGTAGCTTTTAATTGGTAATAAAAAAGGAAAGAATGACAACTAGTATAAAGAAAAATAATGTAACCATGCACAAACATGATTAATCATGCAAATTAGTAATTCTTTTCACATTAAGTATTCTAAAAACTTGAAGAAATAAAATGGACAAAGTTTGTTCAAATGCTGATATGGGCACCTAATATTCCTGGTATTAAAAAAAAAAAATCTGAAATATGAATAGAAAACAAATGTCAGACACAGAAGTTTAAAAAAAAAAAAACTTTTATCAACCTGAAAAAACAAAGGAAACTTCAATACTGTTTGGAGTGACTTATTTCGGAAACTGCTCCCCCATCTCCTCCTGGATTTTTCACAACAGTCATGTCTTATTATTCTGCCATCTTACTCCTGACCCCACTATGCTGGTATCTGACAACTATTTATTTTGTTTCTCGATTAGGGCAAGCTATTGTGATGGAAAACCGAAAGCACCTCCCAAACCTTGTGCTGGAAACCAGGGGACTCAGATCACAGTAAGTGGTGGTGGTGATTTGTTACTTTTATTACCATAGTCCTAGCCAAGCTAAGGTCATAGACCAGGAACATGATGTGCTAGGTATACACCAAAAAGATGATCCCTGCCCCCAAAAGATTTAGTTTGATTCTGTCTTTCTGGACTGCACATTTATAGTCTCATTGACTAAAAAAAAGTATTTTATAATTATCTTCTAGTTTTTGTGATTTCATGGAGTATTTTACATATTTCACAACATATGCTTCAAAGAATCTGTTCCAAGACTATAAGACAAATTGCACGGATTATGAATCCACTTGTGTTGATCCAGCCTGCAGAGGTCCTGCCGCTCCCCCAGACCTCAGGCCAATCACGGCCTAGGGATGGAGGAGCATGCAGCACTTAGTGTCAACTCTGGTGGTTTACTTTAAGCGCTGTGTGCCAGAGGGCAGAGAGTGAGAGACTTGGGGGCAGGGGAGCACACAAAGTCTGCCCCTGCCCTGCAAGTGGCTCAGCACTTAGTCAGCCGCCAGCTGCTGTTCAGCTGGTAGGTGACACTAAGCCTGGTGTTCCCTTGCAGGGGGGCAGACTTCATGTGCCCCCACCCTTAGGCCCTGATTGACCGGGGGAGGGAGAGGGAGCGCATGAAGTCTCCTCCCACTGCAAGGGGCATGGGCGCCTAGAGGGAACTGCCAGCTGTTCAGAACATCTGGAGGTTCTCTCTGGGGTGGGGGAGCAGGGGCAAAGACTTCATATGCTCCCCCAGACCAATCTGGGTCTGTGGGCAGGGAAGCACAAAAGTGTCCTGGACCTGCCCCTTCTGCCTGAGACCTCACCCTTTCTGGGGCCACTTAAAAAATTTCTGAAGAGGCTCCCCCGTCAAAAATTATTGCCCACCCCGGTATAGTGACATGGGAGAAATATTTAATTTTGTTATGTCTGGACTTTGAATGTTAACATCGGAGAGATGCATCATATTTAAAACCATGCAATATTAAATTGCATCATAAACTTAATAGGACACTAGCTTCCAAATCCAGTGTTGTGCCTCCTGTGTTATTTAGATAATTAGGTCAAATAAAGAATCAGTACATGAAACATAGATTGATATTGTACAGTAGATGCAGCAGTATGGGAAGAGTAGAGTTTGTGTTGTTTCCCATGCTGCTCACTCTTGGGAGGAACTTCCCATGAACATATGTAAATCTACCTTATTATCCTCCTTCAGAATCCTCTTTGGAACTTTTTTCTTTTATGCCAAGAAAACACTTAACAACAATTAAACTTCTAGGCTGTGTCTACACTGGGCCACTTATTCCGGAAAATCAGCCACTTTTCCGGAATAAGCTGCGAGCTGTCTACACTGGCCCTTGAATTTCCGGAAAAGCAACGATGCTCTACTGTACAAAATCAGCCGCTATTCCGGAAAATCTATTCTGCTCCCGCTTGGGCATAAGTCCTTATTCCGGAACACTGTTCCGGAAAAGGGCAGTGTAGACAGCCCAGTAGTCTTTTCTGGAAAAAAAGCCCCGATCGCGAAAATGGCAATCGGGGCACAGACGCTTTTCCGGAAAAAGGGCTTTTCCGGAAAAGCAGCCTGCCAATGTAGACGCGCCTTTTCCGGAAAAACTGAAAACGGAATAGTATTCCATTTTAAGCATTTCACTGGCATGAATTTCCGGTAGACACAGCCCTCGTGTACTAAGACCACTACCTATCATGCTGACTAATTGTCTCATTGTTTCCTTGTACTTGGCCTACTGTATCCCTCATTTGTCTCATGCTTTACACTTAGACTTTAAATTCTTTAAGACAGGGAGTATGCTCTGTGATTGTACAATGGCTTATGCCATGGAGTCTGGTCCATGACGAGGGCTCCTAAGTGCCATGTTAATACAAATAATAAGAATAATAGTGGTAGTAACTCCTATAACAGGAAACCGAACTTCCTCCTAACGTTTGTTTCTCTAGGAGTCCAATAGTACATATAATATCAATTGGCTAATTTAATGACAATTTCAGATGTTCATTATTCTAGTTGGCCCAATTTACACAAGGGACTTGAGCAATGGATCTCATTACTCAATTTATATGGCACTAAAATACAATGTGGGAGTACCATATCAGTAATTGTCAACTGCAGTGTAAGGATTTTTACTTCATAACCCTTCTTTGGTGGTTGTTTGATCTGCTGACCAAACATTGGTGAAATTTGTGCCTTCTTGTTAGAGATGTAAAATCCTGTTTAATTGGCTAAATGATTAAACATGTTATTTAACTGGTTGACCAATTTGGGAGTAAGGGGGGGGGGGCATCCATCCAGTACTCTACCCCCTTCTCCTCTCTGGCTGCAGGCAGGGGCTGCTCCAACCTGGCCAGGGAAGCTCCTGCTGGGTTGGCACAGCCCATGCTTGCCGAGTGCCTGGGCCTGCCGCAGACAGAGGCTGCACTGACCGGGATGTCAGAGTAGCCCCTGTCTGCTGTGGGCCTGGGCATTTCCGCACAAGCAGGGACTGCTCTGGCATTCCGGTTGGAGCAGCTCCTGCCTGCAGGACACCCAGGTCCTGCCACAGACAGGCGGCACTGGCTAGGTTGCTGGAGCAGCCCCTGTCCATGGTGGTTCCTCCATCCTTGATTAACCTTAACTTGTAGGTCCTTATCAGTTAACCTTCACATCTCTACTTCTTGAGAAACACAGTTGTCAACAGGTTGTGGGTTTTTTTTTTTTATACTTTACTATCTTTCTCTGGAATGACATTTTGTTCGCTGATGTTAAGCAGCTAGAGTAGAGCTAGAACATATAATTTGTGTTTTATAAGTTAAGACACTGAGACCATTTAGGTGATTTTCTGTTAAGAAGATTGGTTAAAATTAAATTATTTTTGTAAATCTTGTTTGTTTTTTTACACTTTTTAAATGCAGGTTGAGGATCTATTTTACAATGTAACCACAAGGAGGAAAGCCTTAAGAAATCCAAGTGAAGAATATGCGAAAATATTAGAAGTCGTTAGCAGGTAAAGTACTAAAGAACTCTACCTTGTTTTATCTTTTGGATTGGTTTTTCTGTGTTGGTTAATGCTGGACAATCCCAGTTTATATTCACATATCTATTTGATAAATTAGAAACCCCAAATAACAAGAGAAAGTGTGAACATTGCTTTCATGGTGATGTCAGGCTGTCGTCATGTTGACAAAATTTGGAATGAATCGAATTGTGAAATCCTTACACGAGTGAACTCGCATTAAAGCCAAGTCAGAGTGAAAAGTAAGGAGGGACCTCATGGTTTGGCCAATTGTGAAATGCAGTGGGATTCTTACCTTGCCAGGGATAACTGAACAAGTCAGCCAATTTTCTTCTTCCTCTCCCAGATACAGAGTTTAGTCCTTTGTACTGAAAAAACCACAAAGGGTATAATGGAACTTTTGCTGTTCTTCTTTATGCCATACCAGGCTGTCTGACATATGAAAGTTTTAGACTTCGCCTAGAAATGATACACTGATTTAACTTCTAAAAAGATCATGATTTCCTCTACATAGTGTGGGTCAGGTAATAGCAAACTGTTGCCATCTCATATAACGGCTGATTTGAATTGAATTTCTTTTAAACTAAAAAAGCAACAAGGAGTCCTGTGGCACCTTATAGACTAACAGATGTATTGGAGCATAAGCTTTCGTGGGCAAAGACCCACTTTGTCAGATGCATGTAGTGGAAATTTCCAGAGGCAGGTATAAATATGCAGGACAGAATAAGGCTAGAGATAATGAGATTAATTCAGTCAGGGAAGGTGAGATCCACTTCTAGCAACTGATCTGGAGGTGTGAACAGCAAGAGAGGAGAAACTGCTTTTGTAGTTGGCTAGCCATTCACAGGCTTTGTTTAATCCTAAACTGATGGTGTCAAATTTGCAGATGAACTGTAGCTCAGCAGTTGTTCTTTGAAGTCTGGTCTTGAAGTTTTTTTTGCTGCAGGATGGCTACTGTGTGTCCAGGGAGACTGAAGTGTTCTCCTACAGGTTTTTGTATATTGCCATTACTAATATCTGATTTGTGTCCATTTATTCTTTTATGTATGGACTGTCCAGTTAGGCCGATGTGTATATAGCAGCAGGGCATTGCTGGCACATGATGGTGTATATTACATTGGTATATGTGCAGGTGAATGAACCAGTGATGGTGTGGCTGATCTGGTTAGGTCCTGTGATGGTGTCGCTGGTGTAGATATGTGGGCAGAGTTGTCACCAAGGTTTGTTGCATGGATTGGTTCCTGAGTTAGAGTTACTGTGGTGCGATGTTTAGTTGTTGGTGAGAATTTGCTTCAGGTTGGCGGGTTGTCAGTGGGCAAGGACTGGCCTGCCTCCCAAGGCCTGTGAAAGTTAGGGATCATTGTCCAGGATGGGTTGTAGATCACTGATTGTGCGTTGGAGAGGTTTTAGCTGAAGACTGTAGATGATGGCCAGTGGTGTTCTGTTGGTGTCTGTCTTGGGCTTGTCCTGTAGTAGGAGGCTTCTGGGTACATGTCTGGCTCTGTTAATCTGTTGCCTCACTTCCTCTTGTGGGTATCGTAGTTTCAAGAATGCTTGGTGAAGATCTTGTAGATGTTGGTCTTTGTCTGAGGGGTTGGAGCAAAAGCAGTTGTACCTTAGTGCTTGGCTGTAGACAATGGATCGTGTGATATTTTAAACTAAAGAATCTATCTGTTGCCGTATCACAAATATAATTATTTGTTCACGTAGACTTGCTTGTTAACTGCTTTAGTAGGGTGAGGGACAAATTGTCACTTACTCTTTTATGTACTGAAGTTTTGTTCTGTACTTGTTTTTCAGGTATGCCATCCACAACTCAGGCATTAGTTTTTCAGTTAAAAAGGTATGTAGAACTTTGTAACTTCACACATTTATATCACAAATAAGGGGGCTGACCGTATGTCATAGGTTTTGTAATGAGAATAGTCTGTGAGGTGTTTTTCTTTATCTGGAAACTAGATAAAACTACTGTTGGAAGACTTATCCCTTCATCTTCTCACTTCCTTGGTCATTCTCATGTGAACAGAGAACAGCAATACCAGAAATCTAGAGATGCAAACAATTCAATGTTTATTGGGGTTAGTTTCCAGTAAGCATAAATCCCAGTTTCCTTTCCTTTTTCCCCCCCTGTCAGGGGGTTCGCCCCTTATGTGGGGTGCGTCCCCCTTCTCAGGTCCTGGGTTTCGGTCTCAGCCCCCTCTCTCAGGGCATATACCGTACTAGAGGCCTATCTCCGGGGAAAAGCCTCTCCTTGTCGGGGTGAGTTTCCCGTGTGCGGAAAGGGATGGTAAGAGGGACTCTACCAGGGTGTAAACCAATCTCTGTAAAGCGTTACAATGAAACACCTTCATTGGCAGTGAAGTGAGAGGGGAAAATAGGGGATGGGGAGAGATTATTACACACCTGCTTATGAGCCAGCTTCTGGAGCTACCCCCTCTGCAGAGCAGTCCTATCGACTAATAGTATAGTTGTATCAACTATCTGATTAGCTAGGTAGCTGTAATTTAACATCCTTAATAAGAGCAAAACTCAACTTGGTTAGCCTGCCAGCTAGCCAATCAATAACAAAAAAGCTTCTTTCCAGATTTGTGGTGTTTTGGAAACATTCATTTGCCTTTCTGTAAAAATCCTGTCAAATCCTTCTATCGCATGCCTAGAAGGTCATCAAGTTCAGGCTATTTTGGACCAAAGACTTATGTTTCTCTCTGTATCATTTGCAAACAAAATAGAAGGTAACCAAAAAACCCGTAAGTGACACAGGAGCCCTAAACCTCTTTTTAAAAGTCACATAGGCACATAGTAGCCTAACTCTCCTTCACTTGTAATAAGGCGTGGGTTACAGTGAGATTTAAACTTTTAAGGGCCTACCTCATTTTAGAAAAGAGAACTTGGGGTAATATGTTCAAAAGTACCTCAGTAATTTAAGAACCAAAGATTTTACTGCTGTTAATGTATTGTTTGACAAATGAATAAACTACATTTTGTATATTCAGTAGAAATTTTCTCATGAAAAGATTGTTACTCTTCAAACTTGTACTGGAGCAATTACATAGTATTCTCATATCTTGCCACCATACATTCAGGCACTTACATGTTGTTGTTATAATTATACCTGCAATTCCCTCCCTAGTGTAGATGCAATTTATACTGATAAAAGTGCTTTTGTATTGGTTAGGCAAGTGAAGTAAGCTATGCTCACAGGGCACTTTCTTGCTGGTGTATCTGTATGTACCCTTGGGGTTTTGCTAACATATCCCTATCTGATGGTGCTAAGCCAGCAAAAGTGCCCATTGTATATCTGACTTCATTTTCTCTTTGCATAAATATCCACAGACTCTTTTTAAAAAGCAACCGCCCCCCCTGGAAAACCCAAACTTCAGGCAAAACAAAAAATGAGTTTGTCTTCTGTTCGGTTAGTAAACTCAGTAGAAAATGTCTTGAGGTCGTATTTGAAGTTTTAGAAATCTATTAAATAATTATTTGTAAACTTAGTGACACTAATTTATTTTCTCAATTTTAGCAAGGTGATACGATGGCAGATGTTAGAACTCTATCGAATGCTTCAACAGTGGACAATATTAGGTCCATTTTTGGAAATGCTGTTAGCAGGTGTGTTGACCATAACATTTTTTTTTAAATGAAATCTTATTTTGTATTTCAGTTTAAAATAAATAATTAAACCTCTGTGATTATGAGATTATTTCATAGTAATAGGGTGCGAATGAATATAGTTCTTGAGACCGCATACTGTGCAATTTAAGATACGATAAAATAACAAGGTATTGCTTCACGGGAAAGAAAAAGTTTCAGCTGGCTTGTGTCAACCAACTCATTCATGGGGTTGTTCTGGGGCTGTTTGAATTTCAGCCCAAGCCTGGAAACACAGAACTCTCCCTCCTCACCCACCCAAAAAACCTGCAGCTCAAGCCCTGTGAGTCTAAGTTAGGCAGCAGCAGGTATTTGCCGTGTAGTCATACTCTTCGTATCCACTGACCTGCCCAAGAAGAGTTTCACAGTGAAGCGGCCTTAAACTGCATTAATCTTTCAGCAAATTCCCTTCAGGTTTAGTGAAAATGGAGAAAGAATTATGCATATTGCACGGTTCTCCCAACCTCACAGAAGCATCTTTTTATATATCCAAGAACCAGGGACAGAGGGAACTAGAAATATTGCCACACAAGTGTCTGATCTTCCTCCCAATGTGCAGAAAGGGAACAGTCTGTAGCTGGAGATAATCTTCTAAATGCTGATATAGGGGATAATCTGTCCCAGTTACCATCTAGAAGTTCCTGGCCACCTCCTACTGTGGTGAATTTCCTCCTGTTACATGTTAGAAGTAGTAATTCCTTCAGATGTGCTTTTCTGAACTCTTAAATCTATTTTATAGAGTGATTCATAAATTTGAATTAGAGCTATTATTGAAGAAATCACAAAAGGTTATAAAAATTCTTATGCCAGAAAGTCTCTCAGTAGTTGTAGGAAGACTCTCTTCCCATAAAATGCTTAATTTAATGCATTTCATAGAACAGTGTTGCAGAATGCTTTGTTGCCAACTCTTGAATTTTTGCCAACACTGATGGAAAAGTCAGTTGGATTCTTTTACTAAAATCAGAAGTTATGGCTAAGGAATCGAACTGACTGCGTGACTAAAAATCACATGAACTCCTTTCAAGGCAGCTATAATAATAATATAACCAAGGCTTAGTAGGTGTACAGAGGAGTTAACTGTCCTATGAGAATTTTACAACTGTGATGTAGACTAATATATTTTAAGACCTAAGGAGATGTTTAAGCACTCCACTCTTTACCAACTTCCCACCCTTAATTTAGATCAGATAAATGTGGAGACTGAAAAGGTATATGGGTCATAGTTTCAGGAAGAGCAGTTATGGATCCAGTGATAATTTTAAATTCTCTGTTGGTCTCTCAGTGCCAGTAACATGAGCCTTAAACTGTGAGAACTGAATTTCATGGTTGCCATTGATAATGTAACAGCTGTTCCTTGGCTGGGGGAGACCTTGATATCTGGCCCATCAGGACAGGGTAGTGAGAAGCCCCAGAGAGCAAGGAAGCAAATGCCAGTGGTTTTATCAGCACATTGAGAAGCAACTCCAAGGGGTCTTCTGTGACTGCACCCATCACAGTGTATTTGGGGTGCACATCTGATTACATTTATTAAACAATCTTCTCTGCCTTATATTTAGCTTTGACACTGAGTATATTTCCAAGATCAGAAGAGCACTGTATAAGCTTGAAAGTTCTCTTACCTATAGAAATTGGTTCAATAAAAGATACTACCTCACTCACCTTGTCTCTCTCTATAACCAAATTCATATTGGTGTATTTCTTCTTGTAAGTAATATAACTGTCTTAAACTCATGCCAATACAATCTTTGCACAACATGTATTTTCCTGTATTCTTTTTCAAAATAAAAATTGTGGACAGAGAATTGATAGAAGTGGGCTGTGAAGATGGAAAGCTGGCCTTTAAAATGAAAGGCTACGTAACGAATGCAAACTACTCAGTGAAGAAGTGCATATTTTTACTCTTCATAAATCGTAAGTGCAAAAAATATATAGTTTGTAAAGATTTTTTCTTTTTGCATAACTTTGAGCAGAGTGTACATCCATTTCTTTCTAAAGAACAGCAGGATCAAGGCTCTGAACATGCACTTTTTTGAAACTTACATTAAAAGCTAAATTCTGCCATTGGTGAAATCTTGTATTAAGCAGGGAAGCAGAAATCAAACCAGTGTTTACCAGCCTGCAGTGTTTTGTGATCTGAAGTGTCATAGAGAGGCTGGAGCCTGGGCCAGACTAAAGAAATCTGTACAAACCACTGCCCGAATTCTCTGTTCCTCTGCCTTACCCCCACTTGCCATAGCCTCCTCCACCCAGACAGGTAGAGCAGGGACCTTTTTTAAGGAGCAATAATAGCTTTTTCTCACTCTTCTCCTCCCCGCCCTCCCGGCTGCAGGGAAGCTTCCTCAGTGCTTATTCCTGAACTGGCGTTTATCTGCTGGGGTGTGTGGGCAGACTAGGTCTGCTGCACTTTTTTCCTCCTGTCATACACAGAATCCTCTTCTGGGATAGTGTTGGCAGGGCCATCCACCACAGTGGAATTATGGAGTTAACGCTGCATTAGGATGTATGGGGGCAGTTTTGAGTTATTATTTTCTATCACTACATCGGTTGTTTACTTAAAAAAAGTGGGGGTGGAATTCTGACACCAGGAACTGGTACCTAAAATAAAGGCCTACAGTGCCTACATCTTAGTGTAGCCCTGGGGAGAGAAGGGGGAATAGGTGTGTATTTTTGTTTTTACTGCAGACTTCGTGACATGGAAAGTTGGCCAAACGTCAGCTTATCTGTGCTTCAGTGTTCCTAGCTGTAAAAAAATGTAATTGTAACACAACTAAAGTATTGAGGCTTAATCATTATAAAATGCTTTGAGTTTCTTTGAAAATGCTGTAGAAGTGCTTTGTAATAATGTTTAGCTGTGATAGCTTCCAGATCTCCACTTTTAGCAAATTTTCATTTCAGTCAGTAACTGATTCAGTGTCTTGCACAAGCATTTAAATCAGTGGTGGGCAGCTTATGGCCCAGGGGCTACATGTGGCCCTTTGGGGTTCTATGTGTTGCCCACAAGATATTTCATTTACCATTGCCCACACACAAGGTTGCCAGATATGCTGATTTTTGTCTGCATAGGTTTTTTTCCTACTGTTGTTACAAAATGGCATGGACTTAAAGCAAGAGCATGTGAAGTGAGGTCTGTGCTGATTGCACACAACATTGACAGAAAGCCCTGCACTCCCTTTGCATCAAAAGCACTGCTATGGTTTAGTCGGCACACCCAGCAAATTCTAGATACACGAGTACAACTACCCTATCCTGGAGACTGTCTCTTGGTTATGGCAATCTTGTGGCCCACTGAGTTGGCCTATGTTATCCCTCACTGATTTAAACTATCTTCCCTAATGACCAGAACAAGCAACAGCCTTATCTCCTTTCACAGGCTAACTGGCAATTGCTTTAAAGGAGTTACCATTGTTTGTGCTTCAGGCTTGTGCTGCAGGCTATAGACACAACTCAAAAGATAGTTGCACAAAAGATCAGGTTTGAGTGTTCTCCAAAAAGTTTACATTGCAAAAAAGTCAGAATACTTTCAGCTCTTGCATTGATCCTCTCATAAAGTCATGTGTATGGTCACCAAGAGGATTGCTTTTAGAAGAAAATGTTAGGGAACTGATATATCTTGATATCCTGCTGCATGAAGGTTACTAAAGTGAAGAGCTTGTCCTGTGTTTCCCTTTAACTTGTGCAGTCCCACTTGTGCTCTCCCAGTGCACAGATGAATACGCTACTGCATGAGAATTGGAAAGCGACAACATTAGATGAAAAGTCTAATTATTGAAACTGAAATACACATTGAAATTTCACTATTTGTAACAGATTAAAAAATTATATGGGGCGGGGGGAAGCAGGGGGAACTGATCATATCCTATGAGGACTAGGGAAGAGCAAGGATGGAAGAGTAAGTGACCAAAATTACCTTATGGAGCAATTTTTAACTTTGATGGATTTCTATCAGTGCTTAGACGCTATGCGAATAGATGCTACAGGAAAATATTTCAGACTCTTGTGTAGCATGAAGTTTGGGCTACAAGTGGATCCTTATGCAGCATACAGTGTGTTCAAATACGCTGTTTGAATAAGCACATTTCTTATGGTTTCCCCTCTTATATTCTTCATTCCAGATCGACTGGTGGAGTCAACTGCTCTGAGGAAAGCTATAGAGACTGTGTATGCTGCTTATTTGCCAAAAAGTACACATCCATTCCTGTACTTAAGGTAAAGTAATAAAAAGCCTTAGGACTTGTCTTCGCTGCTACACTACCTTGGTAAAGCTGCATTGATGCAGTTGTGCTGATGTAGCACATTGGTTGAAGATGTATGTCATGTCAACAGGGTAGAGCATCCCATTGAGAACACTGTGTAGATAGTACTTTCAGTCGATGTAACTAACATCACTCATGGGTGGTATTTTTTTCACACCCGTCAGCGACATAAATTACTCTAACTCCTCACTTAACGTCGTCCTGTTAAGCCGTGTAAAAACTAAACAACTTTATCAGAGCACACACTCATTTAAAGTTGTGTAATGCTCCCTTATAACATCATTTGGCATTGTGCTTTGTCCGCTGTTTTCAGGATTTTCTGGAAAAACAATCTGTCCTTTTGGGGGTTTGTAACCAGGGTGGGCTGGCAGTCCCCCATTAGCTCCCCCCAAGTCCTCTGAAAAGTATGTGGCTGGGTAGCTGCAGTTTAGCTGCTCCTTACCCCACTGCTGTGCTGCTCCTGCTCTCTGCCTTGAAGCTGCTCCTGGGAGCCTCCTGCTTGCTGTGCTGTAGGGGGTGGGGGATGCTGATGTCAGGATGTCCCTCCTCCCCCACTCCATACTCTGTCTCCAAAAAGCAGGATTTAACAGCTATAGATTCTTTAGTCCTGAACTTCCTGATCTACAGAACTGTTTTTAAAAGGGCAATGTACTTGAAGTGTATTTAAAGAGGCAATGCACATCTCTGCCTCTTTCTATGTCACCCACACACAAACACTATGTGTGCATCTGTGTGTGAGATCCCCTCCTCCGCCCCCTGGCACTGTGCAACAATATATGCGCCATCCAGAGGGGGGAATGGTGCGCTCCAGTGGGATAATGTGGGGTTCATAATGTTCAGTTTCTGCAGGGAAGTGTTTGCAACTACTGCCATGCATTTGTGTTTCCTCCCTCCTGCCTGAGTCTATGCTGCCTCTAGATTGTGAGGGTACGTTAACCCTTGACAAACTAGCATTCCACTGAGTCTTCATTTAGTAACATGACTTTCCTGGGAAATATTCTACCCTCTGACTTTTCCACTTCAATCAAGCTTCACAGTCATCATTGCTGTGTACCATATTACATTGTTTCATACTTATGCTGCATATGTAAATAATGTCTTTTGTCTGCTGAAAACATATCCCTGGAACCCAACCTCCTAGTTACATTAATTCTTATAGGGAAATTGAATTAACTTAATATAGTTTTGCTTAAAGTAGCATTTTTCAGGAACAGAACTACAACATTAAGTGAGGAGTTTACTGTACCTTGACTTATGCAGTAGCGTAGGAAAGTCCTTAACTTTTAATGCCTGTCTTGTAGGGCTAGTCAGAGTCATCAACAGCTGGATAAAGGGGATTAGGACAGGTAAGGTGGTCTTTAAGCAACAGAATGGGACATTTTTAAACTGGTAATACATGCAAATGTATTCCTTTCATCCTTTATAGATTAGCAAGGCCAAAACACCAAAGGAAAGGCTTGTTTCTTCAGAAGTGTTGTGCACCACAACTCCAGCTGCAGTGTATTGGATTTGTGGGTTTTCAGCTCTAAAAATCAGGCTCCGTGACTCTCTTTTTTCTGCAGCAAGAGCAATAGGGAACACTCATTTGTTCTATCCAAAACGCCATCTATCATTCTTTCTTCTTGCTAAGAGATAGCAGAGAGCAAAAAGGCTCTTGCAGGCCTCCGAGTGAGCATGTGAGGAAAACTCTTCAGGAAGGAAGTCTTGGCAGAGATCTCGTGCTGAGTGCATTCACATACAGCCCTCAGTCAGTGGGATATTTTAGGTTACATTTCCTTTAAAATGTTTTGCAGCCTGGAAATAGCCCCTCAGAATGTAGATGTGAATGTGCATCCTACAAAGCATGAAGTCCATTTTCTTCATGAAGACAGTATTCTAGAGTGTGTTCAGCAACATATAGAGAGCAAATTACTGGGGTCTAACTCTTCAAGGATGTATTTTACCCAGGTGAGAATATAACTGTTTAGAGACAAGTCTTCTGCTGTGTTCATAACTGCTACCACAGACTAAGTTTAAAATTAGAATCTAGTTTGGGCCAGATACTCCTATGGTACTGTGGATCTTCTGTTGAGAACTGTGCTGTCCATTTATGCAGTGTATTTGCCAACATTTATATTTTAAAATGACTCTGTCAATTTCAAATCTTATCAGTCTGGGAGAGAGGATGTTAAAAGTAATTTTAGATACATTGACTTTAAGGTCACAACTGCATTACAAAATTTTGATTTTTTTTTTTAAATTAATATCAACATGGAAAAATTGACATCAGCAAAGTTGCCAAATCATGTTCATACTTGCCTCCTCTGCTAACAGATTGCGCCCACATTGCGATCTCCCTCATAAACGGCATGAGAAATGTACCATGGATATATATCTCATAGTGCCTGGTGGCACCGTCTGTTGCTAGATGTTGTGGGAATGAGTTACAGAGCATGGTCATTTTGGGACCATGCAGAACATTTCATCCTAGCTAGTGTCCTAGCCCTCCAGTGGTTTCCAGCTTTTTTTCCCACCATTTTTTCCAACTACCATTCTTTGCTGTACACGCCAGCATCTGCAGTAAGAGAGGATGGATCCCACACTTCTCTCCTGTTCTCTAAGGGTACATCTACATAGCAATGCTATTTCAGAATAACTGACTTTGTTCCAAAATAACATAGTCTGCATGTGTACTACAAAGAGTTACGTCAAAATAATGTTGAGCAGGAGGACTTCTTACTCTGATTCCTGTAACCCCTCTGCCTTGGACTTCCTACTTTGTAGACAGTGCCAAAAGCCAAAATAAGCTATTTCAACTTGTGCAGTATTTCATAGCTTATTTTGGCTTTAGCCCTGTTGTGTAGATGTGCCATGAGGACAACATGCATGGCAACACAGTTAATCTTGAAGTTACTGGCAGAGGAAGACTCTCAGACATGTTACAGTCTGCGTGATATGGACAGCAGCAACTTGGCATTGCTTTTGGCATTTGCAGTAGCAGCTGCATAGAATAATCCATCAGGGTTTTTTGGGGGAGTGTGGGGGGCTAGGGAAACAAGCATTGATTGGTGGGATTGCATTATCATTCAGGTGTGGGATGAAGAGCAGTGGCTACAGAAATTTAAGATGTGTAACAATTTTCCTCGAGCTGTGTGCTGGGCTGGCATCCAGTGTGCAGCACAAGGACACCAGGATGAGGTCTGACCTTGATAGAGAGGCTTGTGACAATTGCTCTTTGGAAGATGACTCCTCCTGATTGCTACTGGTCAGTTGCAAATCAATTTGAAGTGAGCAATTCTACTGTTGGGGCTGTACCTACTACACGTGTGCAGGGCAATATATCACATTCTGCTATGAAGGACTGTGATGCTGGGAAACGTACATGAAATAATGGATGACTTTGCAGAGCGGGGCTTTCCTAACTAGGGGGAAGCAATAGATGGTACACACATTCCAGTTTTAGCACCAGACCATTTTGCCACAGCATACAGCAACAGGAAGTGATGCTTCTCCATGTTGTTATAGGCGCTCGTGGATCACCATTGGTGTTTCACGGACTTCAACACAGGATGGGCTGAAAAGGTGCATGATGCACTTATTTTCAGGTACTCTTGGCTCGTCTCATTCTGCAGCTTGATTAAAGATTTGAGCATCTCGGTTTGTTGCTCTGTGACCTTCATCATCCCGTCAGTGGCGTCTCTAGCAAATGCTTGATTCTCCTTTCTGTCCTGTCTTTCTGCCTCCCAGCACTCCTCTTGTCTCTTTGTCTCTGCAGAGGTGCGGTGTACTACCATTCTAACCGTATCCTCTCTGGTGCATCTTAGCCTCTTTTTTTAATCTGCATGTTTTGAACCTATTTACTGTAAAGCACAATGCACAAAAGAGGGATTGTTAAATTACAGCTCAACATTAAAATATTTCATTTACAAGCACTTTTTGCAACATACCAATCACTTTCTCGCAGACTCTTGAAAGGCAGATATCTCTGTAAGCTCCCAAAGCATGGAGAGTGTTGAGAGTGGAGGGTATGCATATGGAAAAAAGAAAATAGTTTTTGCAGGCTTTCAGTGCAATTTTGCAGGGAACTCATTCTGAAATGATCCCACATTTCTCCACAGGTGGGGATCATTCTAGCAAACTTCTCACTGCTGAGAGTAAAGAGGAAAACCAGGGCTCAATTACTAGATGCTTGCAGCTAGGGTCATGCTCCATATACAGCCCACTTATGTGTCTCTTTTGTCCCTGCACAAATGATTGCAGAATGGCATGGGACAGTGTTCGATGGCAGAGGATTGCCAAGTACCTCCGGAAAACTTTCCAGAGCATCTCTGTGGAGGATTCTATTGAGATTATCTTCGTGGCCTTACTGATTTAGCTATGTAGGACATCATCCAAATCACAGGAACACAGTTGCTTTCCACTTCTCTATACCCTATGCTCACCTCTGCACTCCAAGCCACAGCCACCGCTTACCCTGTGTCTCGTCTCCTGCTCTCTGGAGAGCAGCTGCTGTGATTGGCTATGTACCTCAGGAGTGGAGAACAGTTCCTGGCTGCTGGCTCCCCTGGGCAACCCTTGCTGGGAGCCTCACATCCTTGCCTGGCTCACACCTCTCCATTTGTTATTTCATCGTCTGGGTTAGGTCCTCTCTTCTGTTGCTTCCATGCCCTCTGAAGTATCCACGGAACTTGTGGAGGTGGGGTTACCACTAATGTTCTCTGTAAGCTGGGCACTTGTGCTGCAGATTCCAACGTTGCCCAGTTGACTGGCAGAGCACCCACAGCTAGGTTTTTGTTTCTACTGGCAATGTCTACTGCACATGTCTCGGTGTACATAGAAAAAAGGATTTTATACATGGATGTAAAAAATCTGTATATAAATGGAAAAGATTAGAGGGAACATTGGTTACCACTGAGGAGAGCATCCAGCTCCTTATAAAAACAGCAGGTCTTTTGTACAGGAGTGGAGCAACAGTTTGCCTCCTTCAGCTTACGGAATGTCTGCCTCATTCCTTTATCTTTGCTCTGCACTTCATCATGTCTCACTCATAACTCTTTTCACACAAGTCTTGAGAAATTTGCTCATACATGTTCCAATTCCTATGGGTTGTTCATGGCTGGAACTGAACAGACTCCTCTCCCCATATACTGATCAGATCCAACAGCTCTGCGGTGGTCCAAGTGGGAGAGCCACTGGTGATAGCCAGCAAAAGTCACCTGTGAAGACGCCTTGAGACCTCTCCACACTGATCAAGCAAGTAGAAAATGGAATTTTAAATTCCTAGGGCTTGTAAGCAGAGCGGGTGGATAGCTGTTTACCTGGCTGCAGGGCAGCAGAGTTCAAACTGGTGACCAAAGCAGCAGCATGGGCATTGTGGGACGCTTCCTGTAGGGCAGGAAAAGCAAAAAAGTGCCTTGTGGTGTTGACACTGCATGTTTGTCAATAATAAAGCAAGGGGAAAAGAAAATAAAGTTTCTTGTAGGGGTGGAAACAAAGGTTACTCACTTTGTGCAGTAACTGGAGTTCTTCGAGATGGTGTCCTCGTGGATGCTCCACGTTCGGACTTGAAGCCATCCTGACACCTGGATCGGAGATTTTGAAGCAGTCCCTGCAGGGACTGTGCCAGGAGAATATGGTGGATATGGTGAGTGATGCAGAAGTTCCACAGTTTCAAGGCCTCAGTGCACAGGGATGGAGACCTGGCTCCCCTTGTCTGTTGATATAGAAGATGCAGGCAATGTTGGGTGTGAAAACATGGACATGTTTGTTGGCAGTGGAAGGCAGGAAGTGCCTGCAAGCATTGTGTATGGCATGCAATTCCAAGAGGTTTATATGTAGGGGCATCTCTTGAGTTGAACAACGGCACTGGACAGTCTGGTCTAAGAGGTGAAGTCCCCACCTGATGAGCAAAGCGTCTGTTGTAATTGTGCGAGAACATTGCAGGAATGGGACCCCGGTGCAGAGATTGGATTTTTTGGTCCACCAGAGGAGAGACGTCTTGACCTCTGTGGTACGGTGAGCAGGAGTGACATGGGATTCCTGCCGAACCAGAGCTGTAAGCAGTGCATGTGGAGTCAAGCATGTGACACCACAAAGGTCATATAAGCCATGTGGCCAAGAAGTTGTAGGCAGTCCTTGGCTGTGGTATATGTCGAGAAATAAATCGCTGTGGCCAGTGTCTGAATGGTGAATTTGTTGTGAGGTAGGTAGGTTCGTGTCGCCTGGGAATCCAGGTGGGCTGCAATGAACTGCATAGTCTGGGAAGGGTCTTTTCCCAGTTTATGCAAAGGCCCAACTTTTGGAAGCACTCTATGGTTATTGCTGTTCTGTGAGCAGACTCTGTCTGAGATGTAGCCTTGAGGAGGCAGTTATCTAGATAAGGGACTATAGTAATTCCCATGGAGTGAAGATGCACAGTGAGCACCTTGGAGAAAACTCGAAGGGCTATGGATAGCCCGAAAGGTAGGATGTGATATTGGTAGTGTTCCAGGCCTACTATGAATCTTAAGAAACTCCTGTGAGCAGGATGTATTAAAACATGAATGTAAGTGTCCTGGAGGTCAGGTGCTGAAAACCAGTTCTCTTGTTGCAATGCTGGAATAATTGTTGATAAGGTAACCATTTTGAGTCTTGATGAACTTGTTCAAGTCTAGAATTGGCTTCTAGCCTCCTGACTTCTTTTGAGTTAGAAAGTAATGGGAATAGAAGCCTGTCCCCTTGTGCTGTTGCGGGACCAGCTCTATGGCCCCTAGATTTAACTGGTGCAGCACGTCTTGTTGAAGCAGGGACTTGTGAGAGGGGTCCCTGAAGAGGGATAGGGTAAGAGTGTGGGTGGGGGGCTTGGAGAGGAACGGGATGATGTAACCTGTCAGAATGATGTCAAGCACCTATCTGTCTGAAGTGATGGAGAAATATTGGTGGTAAAATGGGTAGAGGTGGTTTAGGAAGATTCTCATAGTCATTTGCATTGAAACTTTTAAGGGGTTTTCGGAGCCCTCGATCAAGGCTTCAAATTTGTTTGTTGGCCGGTGGCAGTTGAGGGCCAAGCCTGACAGCCGTCTGAGGCTGGGAGAATGATGTCAAGCACCTATCTGTCTGAAGTGATGGAGAAATATTGGTGGTAAAATGGGTAGAGGTGGTTTAGGAAGATTCTCATAGTCATTTGCATTGAAACTTTTAAGGGGTTTTCGGAGCCCTCGATCAAGGCTTCAAATTTGTTTGTTGGCCGGTGGCAGTTGAGGGCCAAGCCTGACAGCCGTCTGAGGCTGGGATTTTTAGGATAGCCTGATCACTGATAAGGCTAGTAACAGTACTGCCTGCGTCAGTTAGTGGATGTATGTATGCCCAGAGTATGGAGAGTTGCGCAAGAGACCCTCATGGTATTGAGGACTTCATTGGTCTTGGCCGCAAGCAGTTTCATGTGGTCAAAGGGCAAGTCCTTGACTGTGGATTGTATCTCTCAAGGGAAGGTGGCTGGGGAGAACCAGGAAGCTCTCTGCATTACAAGGGCAGTGGTTGTGGTTCTAGCCGCAGTATCCAGTGCTGTTTGGCGGGTGGCTCGAGAAACAACCTGTCCCTCAGAAATAATAGCCACAAATTGGGGCCTCTTTGCCTCCAGAATGTCATCCACAAAATCCGTAAGTTTGGAGTAGTTGCAGAAATCATTCTTAGCCAGCAGGGCTGAGTAGTTCAAGATCCTGAACTGTAAAGTTGTGGAAGTGTAAACCTTGCAGTGAAAGAGGTCGAGTCTCTTGCTATCCTTATCCAAATGAGTGGCAAAAGAATGTTTTGCCTAGTGGTGAGCGGCTTCCACCACTAGGGAGTTTGGGGTGGGGTGTGTAAAGAGAAACTCCGAGGTGTTAGTGGGTACATAGTATTTCTTATCCGCTCCCTTGCACGCTGGTGGAATGGACGCAGGAGTTTGCCAAATTGTGTCGGTAGGGTCCAAAATAGTGAGTTTGATAGGGAAGGCAATCTTGGATGATGGTGAAGGTTGTAAAATGTCAGTGAGCTCATGTTGAGGCTGTACAATTTCCTCTGTGGCAGTCTTGAGTTCAGTTGCCACTCTCTTAAAGAGCTCGTTGAAGTGGGCAAAGTCATTAACGGCCAGAGTTGGAGTTGTGGCCTTGTCAGGTGAGGGTGAGGAATTATTTGGAGGTGATGAGTCAGGAGGGACTCCTCAGTTGCCTGAGGTGGTTCAGTATCAGGCTGCTGCACGGATGGTGTCGTGCGTGGTGTATAAAAACTAGCCTGTTTGTAAGGACTAGGCTGCACTGTGTGGTGTCTCCTGTGTGAACCACAGGGGCTCCAGTAAGACCATTGTGGAGGATACAGTACCAGAAAAGGTATCCAATGATGACCATACCATGGAGAAGGGGCATGAGGACAGTATTATAGTAGAGGACTACAATGTGGAGAGAAGGAGACCTGTATGCCCTCTTCATTGCTGGAAAATTGTGATGGCACTGGAGACAGCATATGAGATGTTGGTACTGGCGATGCATCAATACCGAAAAGCAGAGATTGAGGAGCTGACATCACTGCGAGATCAGCATTTCGCATATATGGCAACAGGGCCACCAGGATTGGTGCTGGAGTGTATATTCCCAGCCTATATGGTGCCAACGGTGTGGTCGGAACTGATGGTAACGACCTCTGGTACGTTGACGGCACAGAATATATGATCAGTTCCACTAATCTCATTGGTGCCAACATTGCTGGCGAGTGGGTAAGGACTATCGGTGCAGCTGTAATAGACGACGCTGTCAGTACCACTGGGCGTGCAGGAGGAGCTGATGGTGGTGGCACTGCAATTGTCGGTACTATTGTCATTACTGGTACCAAGGATGTAAGCGGTGGTACTGATGCCATCATTGGCACCAAAGCAAGTGCCGGCATGGCTTTAGGACCCTTTATGGTCACCTTCGGTGGCAGTTGACGGTGCTGCAATTCCTGAGGTACCGGGAGCGTTGTAAGTTCCGGCACGAGACCTCTGTGTGGAAATTCTGGACAGAGACCTTTTCTAGAGGTGGGCTCATGGTGGAGCACTGAGGAACATCTCCTCTTTTTTTGTCCTGAGGGAGACCTGGGGTGATTGTACCTCCCTAGGTGGCACACTGGGATCTGAAGCCAGGTGTCTCCTCTTCTCCGTGAGGATCAACTTTAAATGGAGGTCTCTGTCCCTGTGAGTCCTGGCTTTGAGTTTGGCACAATGCAGACAGTCCTGAGATTAGTGTTTTTCTTCCAAACACCTGATGCATTCGGAATGCCCGCCAGAAATATGGATTGCCTCCCTGCAGGAGGCATAGTGTCTAAAGCCTGGTGAACCAGGCATGGCCAAAAAAGTTTTTTTTTTTTTTTTAATTTAACAACAATTATCTAACTAAAACTGACTAATAACTAGTAAATGCTTTAAAAACTACAAGATACACTTCAAGTAAACCAGAGAACTACAGAGCTCCATCTCAGGCCAAAGATGGTTGAGAAGGAACAAGAGGGTTGGGGCTGTGCGTGTGCGGTATCTTTAGGCGCCAGCTGGCACCACACCTGCAGGGACTTGCTTCCAAGGCATTGGGACGACTTCAAGACCAAACATGGAGCATCCACGGCGACACCCTGTAATGGATAGGAGGAGTGCTGGCCAGCACCCGATGACTAAGGGGTTAAACTAGGAAGGGTGTTGGCGGGGGGCCGGCAGAAGAACCAATTGAGAGAGTGTTGAAATTTGAATTGGAAATAGATACCTTGTGTGCTTTCTTTGTGTAGGAGAATAAAACCAGGAATTGAGACACACAAAATCATTTAAAGCCAGGCAGGACTAACAAGTAATTAGGGGCATAGAAGTGGACTGAAAAAGCTTATCTAGTTGCTGTGGGTATTTTCTTTATTTTTGTGGTTAGGATTGAACTGCTTTTTGTGAATCTATGCCTCCCCTCCTTATTTACTATCGAAGAATTGTTCGCAGAGATTTTCTCTGTGTTTTAATTTGTTTTCCTTAGTTGCTATGCAACATCTAGCAACCAAGTATGCTCTATCAAGTGTATCTTTTGTTTTGTAATAAAAATCACTTTTTTTTAAGGTGGTGATTTGATTGTGTTCTGGAGAGTAATGGTTCTGTGTGTATGGATGTGCCTGCCTGAAACTGGGTGGTCAGCTACCAAGAACTGTACCTTGTTTTCTCTCTCTGTCTCTGTCTCTCTCTTTTTTTTTAAATCTCTTTTGCAGCAAAAGAGCTTGGGGTACCCTTGGGGGAGAATTCAAGTGTTCACCCCTGGTTTTAGGGATAAAATCACTTGATAATGGCAGCTACTCTCCTCCCCTCCCCCAAAAGTCAGTGAATCTGTGACTCTGGGGGAGTTTTGTAACTGCATCCTGTGGAGGCAAGGTACATTTAAAGTCTTTGTGGGCCCCCACCTTCTGCACTTGGAGTGCCGGAGTGGTGAATAGCCCTGGTACATCCTCTCGAAGTAGTAGTTTTTTGTCACTGAAACTTGGGCATTTTTCATGACAAAAGTCTCATTCCACCGTTTTGTTGGCAAATGCACAATGTAAACAGACTGGGGGAGACAGTAGGGGAGGGAGAACCCATTTTTCTTTCTTTCAGTTAGTCATTAGGACTATGTCTAAACTACACCCCTCTGTCAGCAGAGGGATGTAAATTAGATGTTTTGAAAGCACAAATGAAGTGGGGATTTAAATATCCCGCACTTCATTTGCATAATTGCGTCATGGCGCTGTTTCGAACAAGTGCCATTTCGAAACTGAATCTGCAGTTTAGACACGTTTTTTCGACAACGGGGCACTTGTTCGAAAGATCCCCATTCCAGCACCATGATGCGACTATGCAAATGAAGCGTGGGATATTTGCACTTTTGAAACATCTAATTTACATCCCTCTGCTGACAGAGGGGTATAGTTTAGACACAGCCCTTGGGTTTACAGATGATGAGAAAATATTTTTAGACTGAAGGGAGACCTTTTAAATGAACTCATTGTTTACTTTTTACAAAATATTAAATTAACGGATGTTCCATTTAATGTTTAAAGACAACATTAAGTAGAATTATGCATTTATGTAACACTACCATTTGTGTTCTTATAACATTTTGAAACAGTTATGTATGTTAGATATATGCAAAATAACTATATGCATGTGTTGCTAAAAGCTGTGTAATGTAGACAAAGCCTTAAAATAAATACATGGGCATGTACAGTCTCCTGAAGATGTTGAATTTCTCTTCTTTTCCCATTTTTGCAATGAAGACTTTGATCCCAGGAGTTGAATGCTCTTCCACTGAGGTTGTTAAATCAGTAGCGACCTCCTCTTTCACAACTAAAGGAACAAGTGATAAAGTCTATGCCCACCAAATGGTCCGTACTGATTCCCGAGACCAAAAGCTGGATGCTTTCCTTCAGCCTGTGAAGAAAGTCTCGAGTACTGGGCATACAACAGTGATCCAAGATGGTAGAACAGACCTTTCTGATGGCAGAGCCAGGCAGCAGGATACTGAAATGGAAGATCTCAATGACTTTGATACAATGGCTGTTGCACAGGAAGCTTCAGTGATGACACCAGAACTGCAGAAGGAAAGTGGAAGGCTGAGTCCTGAAACAGGTCTTACTAGGTAAAGATGACCTATGCTGATAACAGGGCTCGACAAATAATACAATCTACTCGCCCGGGGCGAGTAGACTGTAACCTGGAAGAGCCAGGTTTGGGCGATCTGCACATGCGCAGATCGCTGGACAGCGTGACTGGCGAGCGGGGCTCACTGCGGATTGGCGAGTCCTGCTGATAGATGATTAGTTTTTATCAAAGTGGATAAACATATTTTTTTAATTTTATAGAAAAGTTTAACTTAAATCCGATTTAAAAAAACATATTGTTTAAGAAATAAACCTATTGAAAATGTCAATTTAAAAACTGTATATTAAGGCCTTCATTTTAAGTTAAATTTTTAAATTAAATAAATTAGCAGTGTCTGCTTGCTATCAAGTTCTTAGAGAAAGACCACTTAAATGGTGCTAGTGGTTAAACATCTGGAATCAAAGTTTGTTGAAGTACTAAATCAGCTTTTGACAACAGTTAACTTTTCTGCAGGTGTAAACAATATTTTCTCAATTTCAATTTATTCAACTAATTCAGTTCAAGGACTAGTTCATTCAAAGCTAAGAAACAAAAGTTGTATTTGAAAAAGCAGGAAAACTTTTTTCCTTCTTCCACTCTACGAATAAAAATTAGGAGTGAGAGGATGAGCCCTAATAGTTCTAAAATCTTGATGAGAAGCAGTCACTTCAATTCACTGAATGTAGTTGATATTTTCTTTTAGTAAATCCTTCAGTTTTAAATGCAAAATGTTTTTTAAAAACTTTTTTTATCCAGAAATTTAAGAAAAACTAAATGCTGTTTTTGTGCATTTTATAATTGAATTTAGAATTTGAATAAACACAAGTTAAGTTCTGTAGTAGCTTAAATAAACGTAATAGGCATAGTTTATCCTCTTGGTGCAAAAAGCACCACATTTAGTGTAATTAGTTGCAAATCGACATGTTTTCGTAGTTACTGACTCATAAGAATCAGCTTTTCTTTGTGAAAATAACTAAAATGAACAAATGCAAAAAATTCCAAAATATTGATTATTCAAATCAAGGGTCTCTGGTTGTTGATTTGAATCATGTTTTTTTTTTTGTAAGTGATATCACTTTATTTAAATCAGTGAGCACCTTAGAGACTAACAAATTTATTAGATCATGAGCTTTTGTGAGTAAAACCCCTACAGAAAGGCCCCTTCTCTCCCCCCAACATGAAGCAAATACTTATCAGTAGTCACATACCCCTGCATAGATGCACTTACCCAGGAACTTACCTCTGCAGCAAACCCCGTTGCCAACTGTATCTACATATTTGCAGACCTAATCACGTAAGCCACAACATCAGGGCTCACACATTTAATGTAATATATGCCGTTAAGTGCCAGCAATGCCCTCTGCCATGTACTGCGAAAGTGGGCAGTTTCTGCGCCAAAGGATAAATGGACACAAATCAGACATCAGCAATGGCAATATACATAAACCTGAGGGAATATTTTAACCTTCCTGGACATTCAATCATGGATTTAAAAGTAGCCATTCTTCTACAAGAGCATTTTATCACTAGATTACAGAGGGAGACCGCTGAACTAGAGTTCATTTACAAGTTCATCACTATCAAATCAGGCTCGAATAAAGAGTTTGATTGGTTCATGCACTACAAAGGCAATTTCTTCTGCCTTTTGATATTTGCGTTTCTACATCATATGCTATGAATGAGAGACATCCAGCCTGATTTAATAAGCTTCATTAACACTGATCATACAGTTGACAGGTAACTTCTTTTATCATCATATACACCCTGGTTTCTGTATTTCCACTCAACTCATCTGATGAAGTGAGTTTTACCAATGAAAGCTCAGACTTAATAAATATGTTGGTCTCTAAGCATGTGTCTACACTGTAGAGTTATTTCAAAATACCTTCCTTTATTTCAAAATAACAAGGCAAACGTCCACACTACCAAGGCTGTTTTGAAATAACGAGCTTGTTGTTTTGAAATAACTCCTGCTTGTGAAAAGGAATAAGCTTATTTTGAAATAGTAATTTCAGGAGTTATTATTTCAGAATAATTTATTTCTAAATAATCTGGTAGTGTGACCTAGCCCAAGGTGCCACAGGACTGCTTGTTTTTAAAGTTACAGACTAACATGGCTGCCCTTTAGACTTGATTTAAGTCCATTCATCCTGCTGTTTATGAAAGGTGTGCAGTTAAGTTTGGGTGCTTTTTTAGGAAAATCAGGAAAAGGGCTTTAGGAAAGCTAAAAACCAAATGTGAACAAATATCTTGAGCTTTCACAGAGGAATTAAAATCTTTATAAACCATAACACAGAAGTCTTGTGCTGCTGCTGGAGAATTAGAAAGTGAAAATGACCATTCTCCAAATTGAGAGATGAATGTGAAGGAAATGAACAGCATAAATAGTGAAAAGTAAATAGGGTTTGTTTTATTTAGGATGATTATGTATGAATCACAATCTCTTATGCTCACCTCATAGAGGACTGAGTTTCCCCTTATAGTTAATGAGCAGGGAGGATACCCAGTGTTCCTTTTCTAATCTTGCAGATAATTCCTGGAAAAAAATAATCTGATTTGTGACTTTTAACTATTTACAAATAGTCAGGAGAAAACTAATTTTTCATTATATTGAAGAAAATCAAATCTAATCAAGGTACATGCTGGATCTTCCGTGATTATCTCCTTTAGGGCCAAGTCTAACCCCTTTTGAAGAGGTCTTTTTAAACAGTTGATTTGGCCAAAGTGATTAGTCATAAGAATCCCTAAATAGCTTTAACAGTTGGCCTGTTTTGTTAAACAGTGCCTTGGAAATGAAATGAAGTCTTTCCTTTTTTGAAACTTTTGAGCTAGCTGGTTTCCTGATTGCTGTTTCATGTGAGGTTACTGCACTTCAGGTTGAGTATACACTTGAATATCATTCTAATGAGAACAGAAAATATTTTCTTTTTGTCTCTGCATTGCAGAAAGAGACAGCGGTCAGACTCTGATGTAGAAATGGAGGAAGATACTAGAAAGGGAATGACTGCTGCCTGCACCCCTAAGAGAAGAATTATTAACCTAACCAGTGTGTTGGCTCTGCAACAGGAAATTAGTGGTCAAGCACATGCAAGTATGCAAGACTCTTGTTTCTCAAGATGATTATTTTTCTGACTGTTAAACATATGATTCCTTGGACTACTTAAGATACTTTTATAAAATTGGCACAACAATAAGCCTATTCCTGTTGCAAAAGAAAGTTTGCTGGGGCTCTGTGTAGCTTGCAGATTGACCTGCTAACCCAGAACTGTATTGAGTTAACACAAATTTTGCTCAGACAGTTGGATTAAGTTTTTTAAACCATAAGAACCAGCACATCCTTTCCCCACTTAGCTAGGACAGGTATTCACTTCATATGTAAGGGCCGGTTTAGCTTTTAGTGAGTCTGCATATTAAACTGCATTACTAAACAAAAGACACTAATTACTGTAAGGCTTTTTTCCATTCCAAGTACAGATGTTAACTCACCCTATGGAAAAATAGCCTGCAAAATTGCAGCCTAAATATCACGGTTCGTTCTTTGTTTGCTCTGGATACAAGGACAAAGTGAGGTTTCTTAAACAATGGAACTTTTATAATACAAAAATATTTTTTTCTTTTTTCCCCCCTATTTTCCATCTTGAGATTTTTCAAGGGTAAGCCATGTTCATGGTCATTTTTTTTTTTTTATTGCCTAGTATTGCTAGTCTCTGAAAAAGGATTGATAATGGGAATATGATGGAACCAGATTAATTAAATTGCTGTAGCTTGTGCACACCATTTTTATATGAATGAGGAAAGGGGAACCATGTTCGCTGTGTCACATACCTGCCTCCTGTGAAATCCTTATATAGTTAAACTCCATTTGTCCGGCATTCAGTGGTCCGGCACTCTCCCGATATTCCAGCACCAACTGGAACCTGGAAGTGCTCTGGCCATCTGGACAATTGGAGCTGCTGGCAGGGAACGGCGCGGCGAGGGGTGAACCCTCCGCCATTTTGCAGGAAGACGGGGGAAGCCCCGCGCCACTGCTGAGAGCAGGCTCCCCACACCCCAGAGTGCAGTAGTTATCGCTGAGCAGGGGGGGGGGAGGTGAGGGGCGGCGC